CGTCCCCGCGCGCCAGGTTTGGGGCCAAATCCAGCCATGCAGCGCAGGCACGTCCCGCGGCCTTGGTAGCTCCTTGGGTTTTCTTCCTTTCTCCCGGCAGGCGCAGGCGCGCAAGAAGCGCATTGCCAAAGCCGAGAAGGAGTTGGAGGATCTTCGTGGCCAGACACGAGGCTCCATGAGTGTTCCATAGACTTTGTTCTGCGGTGCTGCAGAGGGAGTGCAGAGCTTCGCGGCAGATCACACAGTTTCAACACAAGTTTCAAAACTCTTCTGCAACTCCTCGAATCCTAGAACTTGTGATCTTCGGAGCCGTGGCAGGCTTGCCATCAGCTTCAGTCCTGAATGGCAAGAAGGGCTCAGAGGAAGATAGTCCGAGCCTCGAGCTTCTGCTGCTCGCAGCGCAGTCCCATGGGTAGTTCTCAAAATTAGGGTCCCTTTTTGGGTCCCCAATATAGTACGGCACCCTTATAGTATGGCCCTAATTTAGAGAACTACCCGTATGCCTGGGGGATTTCTTCACGTAAAGACGGTCAGAAAGTCGGAGCAGTCTGATTGGTTGGGGGTGAGCCACACCAAAGGCCGCCACGTGCCTTGTTGCAGATCTTTGCTAAATAGCCGTCAACCTACTCCAAGAATCTTTGAGGGTTGTTGCTTGCTGCTTGCTGGCTTGGCAGATACTTGCATCCAGATCCTGCAGGACAGATTTTCAAGAATTCTGCACTTCTCTGATTGAAGATTCTTTCATTATGCCAGGCGAGCTTCCTGCACTTAGACCTGCCACTGGCACGATGTGCACGGTTGCCACGAAACCCAAGTTGAAGGAAACTCGCGGCTGAAAACGCGTACAAACTATCGTAGCAGGTATAGGTGAAGATGGCATGAGACCAGACGGACAATGCTTCATACCACCGTTGCATACTTCTCTTCTGCCATTGGGGAGCCAGATATAATTTTTCTAGGGACGGGACATGACACGTCAAGGTGATGACGATGCCCAGGGCTTGCTGCCGCTCTCCGGCCCGGGGAAGGCTCTCACCTCGGATGTTTGATCTTGGAGTGAGGCCTTCGGAAGAAATGAGCTGAGGCATTGAGGTTGAGGAACTACAAATGGGATTCGTGTCAACAAGTGCGAGATGGTGGGTCGTAGAATCGTAGAACTGCGCTTGACCCATGAAGACTGAAGGGTGTGTGGAGTGCTTGCTGCCGGGTTTCGTTCGGCAAGTTCTTGTACATCAATTTAAATGAACACGTGGCACGTGTGGCCCGTGAAGATCTACATAACAGACCTGTCTGACTTGAGTCGACTGTAAACTTTGTTGAATTTTCGGAACCCATCCTGGCCCACCAAGTACGCGAACGATAGCACACGTGGCCCCCCGAATTTCAGGCCCACTCGCACGTTTGAGTTTGGAAGCCCTACAGTACAGGGAGATTCCAGAACGACTTCCATAGTCACATCTCTGGGCCAGGTGAAGTTCAAGCTTCCAGACTGGCCACTGGGTGCCTCGCCACCTCTGGACCGGAAGCTGCTCACGTTGAAGGCAAGGATTAATGATTCGAGCCTCGGTTTCGGTGGGGAGGCGCTGATGCGAACGCTGGCTTTTGGCAGCTTTGCACTACGCAGGAGACTGAGATCAAGTATGACGGCGGGGAGCCAGTCCTCAACATCGAGGATTCCAGCACACTTCATGCTTGCGATTAGGGTTCAGTCAATGTGGCAGAAAATCATGGTTAGCAACGTCGAGTGAATCTCTGAAGGTCGCATGTCAGCTTTAAATTGGGCAGCTCCCCTCACGGGTAGGCCGGAGCATGTACAGTGTTGTGGATGTTTTTCTCGGCTCAGTGCTCGAATCATCTTCCGGTGCGCCCTGGCTTCACCGCTCCATGTTGGAGTTCGAAGTGCAGTGCGACACAGTTCCCGGAGAGGTGGTGGCGATTTGTGGGTCCGAGCCTCTGTCATGGGACGCAAAGCAGGCCCTGATGCTCGACCCGACAGACTATCCGGCATGGCGAGGTCGGGTCGCAGCACCACAATCAGATGTGGAGTTCAAGTACCTCATTGTAAAAAGGGGTGAGGGGGTGGCAGGCGAGTTGGTCCGCTGGGAGGGGGACTTTCCCAATCGGAAAGCGCACAGAGAGAACGATGTGGCAAAGTTGGTTTTGCGGCACCGCTTCGGTGATGTCACCTTTGAGTGTAAAGAGGTCGTCCATGCGAGTGGCATCCCGGAGAAAGTGCTTTCGAAGCCAGGAAGTGGTTATGCAGAGGATGCAGAAGGACCGGTGACTCCAGAGGCACCGCGGGCTGTACCTGCCCTCCCCATTTCCAAGCGCGGCGAAGAAGAGGCCGAAGAGCCAGAGTCCGTTCTCGGCAACATCGCAGTTGATCCCGCACTTCGGCTAGCTCGCATGGTGCGATCGAAATCTGCCACAGCCTTCTCCATGAAGTACGATGTGACTCCTCTCTGCTTTGAGAATAAGTTTTCCCTAAAGGGCACAGAGCGAAGCCAGAAGCTGCGTGGTTTTGTTGGCATAGGTAAACCGCCGACACCAATTTAGGTGAAGAGTACCGTGCTGGGCACCGGCATGTCTGGCGGGGTCGTCGTTGGAACCAACAAGGAAACCGGTGTTGAGGTTGCCATCAAGAAACTCCCGTTGAATTCGTCCATGAATCTAGAGCACATCAAGTCAGAGATTCAGCATCAGCTTGCCTTAGACCACCCCAACATTTGCCGTCTTTTGGAAGTCTACGAAGAGCCGGACCGGCTTCTGATGGTCATGGAGAAGCTTGATGGACCCGACTTGTTCGAATCCTTATCCAAGAAAAGCCGCTACACAGAAAAGGATGCAAGGGAGGTGGTCAAGCAGATACTAAGCGCCGTTGCTTACTGCCACCGGAATGGTGTGTGCCACCGTGACTTGAAGTTGGAAAACTTTTGCATGGAGGACAAGTCGGAGCAATCCAGGATCAAGATGATCGACTTTGGCTTGAGCTCGTCCTTCGACGAGTCGCTTCCCATGACGGACTCGTGTGGCACCCTCTACTACGTGGCGCCAGAGGTTCTGCGTGGCAAGTACAACCAGCAATGTGACATGTGGTCCTTGGGGGTTTTGACTTACATTCTTCTCGATGGCCGCGCTCCCTTCATGGGCCGCGATGACCGGCGGACCTACAGGCTCATTCTCGAGGGCCAATACGTTTTCTCCGAGAATCGCTGGGGCCGGATCTCAGACAACGCCAAGAATTTCGTCGACAAGCTCCTGAAGGTTGACCCCGAGGTGCGCATGACAGCCGAAGAGGCGCTGATGCATCCCTGGCTGACTAGCAAGGAACCTCAAGACACCGAGAATGAGTCTGCCCCTCCTGCACTGGATGCGGATGTACTCGATGGCTTGAAGGCTTTGACCAGGGGAAATGCTGCCAAGCGGGCAGTGCTACGTGCGATGGCACCCGTGGCATCTGTGGATGAGGTAAGCCGATGGGCTGACCAGTTTGAAACCTTTGATGCGAAAGGCACTGGACACGTCAAGGTCGCAGACCTTGTGCAGCGCTTGGTTTCCCGAGGGCTGGCTACGGCTGCCGAGGCTCAGGACATCTCGGATGGCCTGAAAACGGTGGCTGACAGTTCGCAGGAAATCTCATATTCTGCTTTTCTCACTGCGTGCTTGTGTGCGCATCATTCCCGCCTGGAAGAGAAGCACTTGAAAGAGATCTTCTCGAAGCTGGACAAAGACAACGACAACCACGTCAGTGTCGAAGAGGTTGGGAAGGCTTTAGGTGGAGTTGTGAACATCGAGGCATTAGAGTCGGAGATGAACGGACGGGCTTTATCCTTCTCCGATTTTCAGTGGCTGTTCCAACGCCCTCTGGCTCCTTCGTCCATGGCCGGACTTCGTCAGCTATTGGGTACCTTCCAAAACCTGGGCTTGACAAAGAGCTGGCGCGTGGACACGGCAGCCGCCAAGGCCGCCAAGTACGGCGACGATGCCCAGTTCGTAGCCGCACGCCGCGAGAATGCCGCTTGGCGGCAGTGGCATCGCGAGCGTGCACGAGGAGAATCTTCGGACGACATTCCACCGCGGCGCCATCCATCTGAGGAGGACGGCAAAGACCGGCTATCACCCAAAAAGCTGCTCCTTGAAACCGCGCCTTTGCCTGCCCCGAATAGCAATAGCAGCCGGCCACCAAGCAGGCCCCCAAGCAGTCGCGGCAACCTCACTCCTCGAGAAATTCCAACTCCCGACCTCGTGGAGCCCAACTGTCCCGCGAAAGATGCGCGAGACAGAAACGACAACGGAGAGTTGAAAAAAGAGTGGGCTGTGGCCACTGCTGAGGCTAAGGACGGAGACATGGATGCAGCACGGAGAGAAAACCGCGCGTGGCGGCTGATGAACATGGAAAGATCGAGCGCAGGGCAAAGCCCTCGTGCTGGCTCATAGATTTGTGGGAAAAAAGGTTCCGAAGCTGGGGAATGCCAGGGAGGGCCGGGTTGTCACGAGCCATTTATCCGGGTGCCGCTGTACATCCTGCAGAGATCTGCATAGCAGCGCATATAGTCGGTAAGGTGTGCAATTAGCCACGAGGAGTTCGTCGTGTCGGCCGGGCAGCGGCTCGCTTTGCTCGGGCCCAACGGTTGTGGCAAGACAACTCTGCTGCGCTCCCTCGCCGGGAGACTGGAGGCTCGAATTGCCCAAGACATCCTTTGTGCATGGTTCACATTTCCAGAAGGTGCGGCTCGGAGTGAAACACCGCCACAGAAGACTCTGTGAGGTCGAGGCGGGCTGCCGCATCCTGGGTGCTGGCGGCCTTCGCCGTGCTCGCGTTGCCTTCTTCACACAGGATCTGGCCCAGGCAGCGGAAGCGCCAGTATGTTGCCGTGCAGTGGACTTGCAGCTCTGGCTGTGCCTAGTTGTGAGTAAAGCTGTTCAGCGGTCATTGTCATTCGGTCCTCACAGTGTGCACAGGACACACGTTCAGATTTTGGATTGGTTTGCCCCGTAACATGGTCCGGAGGGCACATAGCTCCTTCAAGAAAGACCAGGATCTGCCGGGTGACATCACGCCAGTGGAACATGTGCTGGGTGACGATGCGCCGATTTCCTTGGACAAAGAGGGCGCCCGGGCCGCGTGCGGAACTGAGAGGCAAAACCTTCTAAGCTCAGCCATTTTGCCATGTTGCTGCTCTGAGGCTGGGCGCGCTGGGTTTGAGAGGTGCTTGCCACAATGCCCCTATCAAAACCTTGAGTGGTGGCGAGACGCTCGACATAGGATGACCAAGAGATGCCATGTTTCCCTGCAGGTTCCATGCCCTGCTACTAGCCGACTACTGTAGATCCCAAAGTCCCGAATTCTTGGCTTAATCTTGCAATCCCGAGCCTGCCTGAGGAAAGCACGTGTGGCACTGGCAGTGTTTGCTACGCGGCCTGCTGATGTGTTGCTGCTGGACCTTTGTTCTGAGCTAGCTTAAGCAGCAACGACGACGACAATACTGTAGCGAACACACGACAAGACAAGCGCCACCACCGCCGCTGCTGCCACCAACTCAAGAACAGCAAAACAAGCGTCAAAGACCAATAGCCAACAGAAACGACAACAACACCAACGAGAAGACTACCTCCACAAGCACCAGAACAACAGCAAAGCCAACATCAACAACGATGCCTAGAAGAGTCAGCGCTGCTGTTGCTGCTGCTGCAACTGCTCGTGTCTGCGCTACTTCGCAACTCCTATTCGTATTCCTATTCCGATTCCTGCCAATGCCTATATACCACTATATCACTACGCCACTGTACCGCTATCCCACTACTATTAGTAGTTAGCAGTTAGAAGGTACTAGTAGTAGTAGTACTAGTACTAGTAGTAGTAGTAGTAGTAGTAGTAGGAGGAGGAGGAGGAGGAGTAGGAGCTACTACTACTACTACTACTACTACTACTACGGCTACTCCTTCTCCTGTTGTTGCTCCTCCTGCTCCTACTACTACTACTACTACTACTACTAAAATGGCTACAGCCATTTTGGCTCAAGGTTTCGGCTCGAGCCTTTCCGAGTCTGTTGAGGTTTCCTTAGTACATGTCCCGCCCCACCGAGGAGCCAAACACTCTGAACGTACGTATTGGGCCTGGTACCTGGGGACCCCCCACATCTTGGAGGGGTTGAAGGACGAAAAACAGGCATGAAACCTGCACCTGAACAGTTTGTGCTTCCCAACGTTGGTGGTGCCCACAAGACTGGTGACGGTGATGCTGCTTCAGTTGCTCCCACGGGCCCCACTGCTCCACCTCACCCTGCTGCGGGGACAGGGTTCATTCCTCTTTCGGGAAAAATGCCTGATAGAGAGGGACCACCTTGCGCGCTTCGCATCATAGTGTCTTGGAACAAGGGCGCGGAAGAGTTGACCCCAATAGGGCCACCGCTTCTGAGTCTAGTGGAGCCAGAGAAAGAGAGCGTAGTAGAAGGACTGAGAGAGCTTCTCGCCGTGTTGAACAAAGAGATGCCAGTAGCAGAGAAGTTGAGCTCAAGAAGCCTAAACTTGAACATGAAGCTCCAGGCAACGCTGATGAACTTATGGATGCAGAGACAATTCCATTAGGACTCACTGCTGTTTCGACTGCTCCCCCAGTCCCAGTAGCCAAGCCACATGAACCCACTATTTTTGATCTCACCCAAGCCGACGCGGAAGATGACTGTCCTGAGCCGCCGAATCCTAAACCCTATGCTGCCGAACAGGAGATAACTGCGCCAACTCCCCACCCTGGTGCTCCTGCCCCTTGTACACCCTTGCATGAATTGGTCAGACAGAACGGGCAGATCCCTCCCCCCTGGATTAATGAGCTGCTGGGTTCCATGGCCTCATTGCATAGTAAGCAGGACAAAACGCATGAGGACGTTCTTGCTTTTGGACATGAGATTCAGGGACACTCGCTTCGCCTCGACACTTTGGAGTTGGGGATGAAGGAACATACCAACAAGCATGAAGCCACTGAAAGCAGAATCGAGGCCCTTGAGAAGCAGATCCGTGACATACAGCGTCAAAGACAGCCCTCTAGATCACCTACTCCTTCCAGACAGGGGACCCGTACCCCCCGGAGCCCCAGGTCCCCTCACTTCTCCAACGTCCCAACCGTTGAGCAAAACAGTGAGGTAGATGACCTACAGATTGTCATTGGGGGATGGGTTGATGTTAGGAAGAGTGATGCTTTCGAAGAAGTGAAGAATATGCTACAGGCTGTCGGTATGCACAATGTTGCGGAGGACTTTTGGGCACCTGCATCTAGGACCAACTTTGTTCGCTTTTCCCTGAAGTTCCCTGACCCGGGTTCGCACATCTCAGTCTTAAGACAGTTTCAGACGAAGGTCATTGCTGCTCTTAAAAGCAAGACCTTTAAGAGCGGTATTGACGGGCAAAGCCAGTGCAAACTTTGGGCTACCAAGAACAAGTCCATTGATGACAGGGCCAAGATCCGTGCCTGTGTCCTTGCTAAGATCTTTTATGAATCCATTCCTCCTTTGGATGCTAACAAGCCCCTTGCGGCTCCAGAAATAGTCTGGAACGGGGGTAGGGTCTTCCTTGATCATGTACAAGTGGTCTTCCACATAGACAAGAAAGAACCTGCAGGTGGCGATGTCTTCCTGCCTGACAACAAAGGTAATCATATGGAATGGTTTCTGTGTGCCCGAGCTTTTGAAGCGGCCACGGGAAGGCCTGCTGATTCATTGCATGAGTGTTATACTCTGCATGGTGGGGCTTCAATCAAAGCAGATTAACAGGTAAGCATACACAGTTTCACGCAGCAAGTTGGAACATCCAGGGCAAAACCCTTTTGAACCTTAGTGATACTTGGGACATGCTCCATCTTGACGGTTTGAATGCCCTGGGGCTCCAAGAACTGGGAGGTCATGCTAGTCAAACAGAGGAATGGAAGCTCCACGATATCAAACTTGATGGCATGTGGGGTTTCTATGTAGCCCGCCCCCCCCCAAGGTTCATCATGCGGTTGCTATGGGCTTCCCCGCTCACCTTCTCCCACTAGTCACTGAGGTCTGCGTTTTCACTGTTGGGATAGGTGTCCTCCTCAAAGGTGAATCCTCTAAACAGTTTTTTGTCACCGCACATCTTCCCCATAAACAGAGGGAAGATTGCATTGAGATGTGGCAGTTGTTTCAGACAGAGCTCGATGCCTTTTTGAATTCAAGAAGATTGCACGATTCTCTAGTTCTTTGCATGGACGCCAATTATGAATTAGGAATTTCTGAATTCAATGGCGCAATTAACACTGTTGATGAACGTGGCCCCATCAGTAATCTGATTATTAAGAGTCATGGGTTGGAGTTTTGGCAACCCGATGACTTTACTTGGTCCAACTCCCGGGGTTCCTCTTCCCGTATTGACTACGTCCTTACCTCTCAACCACTTGTTTGTGAGTCTTATTTCAGAGTGGTTCCTGATTCGGATGTTCTTCTGGGCTCGGATCATCGAGCCGTGCTCCTCTCTCAGAGGTTAAGCCCGTCATGCGCCAGTAGACCTCAGCATCGTGTAAGACACAGGTGTGGTAAGTGGATTATTTCCCCTGACCTTGCGGTTGCCTCCTGTGAATCCCTAGCGGAGAAACTCGAACTTGACATGCAGGATTTGTCTAATGGGTTGCTCGCTGCCGCTGCTAAGACTTGCTCTTTTAGGGGCACCTCTTGCCGATATAGGGACCCACCCCATATTCGTTCCATGATTGCTGATCGTCGTCGGCTTGCTGGAAGTGAGGCACGTAATCTTGGTAGACAAATTGTACGGCTGCGAGCTGTCGCCAAACAACAATGGATGACCGAACTGTTGGATAGAGGCGCTAGTGGCGACTACCGGGTCATCTCTTTCTTTAAACGTCGCCAATCCTCTTTGGTCACCCATTGCAATTATTTGACCCGTGCAGGGGGGCGCACCAAAGCAATCTGTGATCTGAAGAGGTTCTACAAAGTCAAGTACTCTGCCCCTGAACTGATTGATCGAGCCCTCCCCATCCAGATGTGGAGGACGTCCGTTGGACCCACTTTGGCTCCTCGTCTCATCACTGCCGAAGAACTCGAAATCGTTCTCAGTACTTGCAAGAAAGGCAAGTCATGTGGGGTAGACGGTATCAGTTATGAGTTCTTACAGATTGCAATGCAGTCGGGTTTAAGAGATCACCTCGTCGAGTACTTCAACAGTATCCTTCTTGGGTCTCAGGAACTACCCCTTGATTGGTTGCACTCCAAGATTACCTTTATCCCCAAGGTAGTTGCCCCCGCCGTCCCGAAAGATCTCCGACCTATCGTGTTATCCTCTGTCCCGGGCAAGGTCTTCACTAAACTACTTGTTTACCGATTAAGAGCTCATTTCCCGGAAATGCAAGCGGGGCAGTTAAGCAGCGTTCCTGGCTCCCAGACTCTTGAAGTGTCCTGTACTCTCCAACAATGTATCCGTCTCTCTGGTGAATACCATCAACCTTTGGTTGTGGCTAAACTGGACATCACCAGTGCATTTGATCACCTGAGTCATTGCGCAGTCTCCCGTTTCTTTGAGAACCTAGGAGCGCATCGAGAGGCGGAACTCCTGCTTTTAATTATTACCTTTTCTTCTGTGCTTATTAGTATGGCTGACTGTAACTGGAGCCAGGATCTTCATAGGGGAATCCTTCAGGGGAGCTCTTACAGCGCAGAAGTCTTTGCCCGAGTCGTGGATTTTTACTTAGGCACCATTGTCACTATATGGCAAGAACAGGAAAGTACTTGGTTGAGAACTGACTTTGAGGATCCCTCTTCTACTAAGCTCTTTAATATCTTGTTCGCGGATGACCTAGTGTTACTTGCCACTAGCTTTGTTCAGCTTACGCGCATGTTAAAGCAGGTTAAAGATTGCTTGCAGGTCATTGGCCTCTCCCTGTCCATCGAAAAATGTCGGGTCCTGTCTGCCCCTTTCCTCGAAGTTGAACCTGTTTTCCTTGATGGTGTTCAACTTAAACATGTTTCCTCCTTTTTGTTTCTTGGCGTCTTGGTTGGTTTCGGGGTTCAGTGTCAATCTGTTCTTAGCACTAGATTGACTGCCGCCACTAACAGCTTTTGGGGTCATTTTAAGTTACTAAAACGGCCCGTTGGGTCGATTAGGAAGAAATTGCATTTGCTTAATTCATACGTGACATCCAAATGGAGATGGATGAGTGCATGTGTCAGGCCAATACAGTCGGTTCATCAGACTCTTAAAACCCTTCATACATCTTTTCTAGGATCGCTTTGTCGGTTCTCCTC